AATTCTTAATTTCAATTTAAATGCTTGTTTTGATTGTATGTGTTGCCTATGTGTAATCTGCCTAAGAATTTCCTTTGGGGTACTATATTTACTATATGTCTGTATAAATATAGTAAATAAATAAATAGTACAGCCCTGTCACATAAAGCCAAAACTGTGGATTCAGCTGCATGTCCTCACTCTTTGTGTGCTTGGAACAAACATATTAACAGATAAGAGAAGCAAGTTGCCAGTGTCAAACTATCCCATCCTATGTTTGTCTTTTTCTTCTTCTTGGAATGTGATTTCTGCTCTCTTCTGCTATTCCTATCAAATTCCTGGAAAAGTATATTTTCCCCACCATTTTTGAGTACTCGTCCTCCCATTAGCTGCAATAAGACAGCTCTTTCAGGTGCTTGAGTGCCAAGAAAGGAAAGTTTACCACTTCCCCTAGGAAGGGATCATGCTTTCTGCTGTGCTCTTCAGAGCTTGCTAGATTCCAAAAACCTGATTCCGAGGGGTCATCAGGGTCAGGCATTAGGAAGGTGCTATCCTGTGAGACTATCTGTGCTGTACAGGTGGGAAGAACCCTCAGAACCATACATAGCTTTGTGGTTGCTGATGCTTTTCATGCCTAAGGATGCTCAGAGCCTTCCTACCTTCTGTCTTGCTTTCCGAAGGGTGAGGAATCGTGGGGCAGTGGCAATGGCAATTGTGAAGATCCCACCCCAGGTAACCACATTGGTAATTCACATAGTGGCATGGCTTTTCCTCACATAGCAGTCTTCCCATATGCTTCTCAGGGTATTGCAGCTATGAGTATCTTTACTGGATCAATATCTGCTATTCGATTGTCTGTATAAGGGCTACTCTTTTAGGAACTACTTCACCATGGGTTTGGTAACACTGATTCGGCTATTACCTGATTTAGAATAAATAACATTGATTGAAAACTATTTTGTTATCATGCTATTCACTCCATATCATCCTACATCTACTAAAAGACGTTTTTGGTTACCTTTTAACCTTCACAGTTCGATTGGCAGTATTGTAGTTATTCCCTAACGCAACTTGTTCTTCCAGTCTTTCTCTCAACTTCTATGAATGCTACCTACTCTGTACAAATATAGTGTACTAATATTCCCATGGTCTCCTCCAAATTATATGGCATGACAAGGACAGAAGCTTCTGTTCTCACCACAGATGGCAGGAGAGGTCAGATTGTCCCTACTGGTAAAGTAGATCCCAAAAACCTAGTCATTGCCGTTTGTTTTCACTGCAGTTCCTAGAAAAACAAGCCTAATGAGGGTCCTGACCACCTTATTTGATCTGGAGAATAACCATGGTGCTTGCAATAACAAGTTAGTCTGGACATTGAGGAGTTGGAGGAATATAAGCAGCATGGTGTAATTTTGACACACAGCATGTATTTTCATAAAAACACAAACCCAAATATTAAAGTGTATTCTGCATATTAACTGGAATTTTACTTTTACTGTAAAGTGCCGTGTGTATTTGATGATGCTGTATGATCATTCGTAAAATACACACAGCTGACAGATGTACAATTTTGAATGCTGTGGGGTGAATACGAATTTTTCCTTTCCCCAATGGAATGAGCCTTCTATAATACATCTAATGGAGCAAGTCCTATTCATCCAAAGTTTTCAATCTGTTCCATGAACCTACTTGGGTGGCATTTGCTCTAGCAGTGGCATTCACATTGGGGAAATAACTGAACAAAGCCTTATGGTGAGTGAAGAAATGTCACAAACACAAAATGTAAGATTATATCTTTATTTCAGTTTAGTTAAAACGTACAATGTTTCATTGAAACTGTGTAGCACGCTTTTCCCAACAATTGTAGTTGAATTGTTGATCTAAACAATACAGTGTGTATCTTTCTCTATATATACATATACAATATATACAAACTGTACCATTACCTATACAGGAAGGCTCAATATATTGATCACTGAAAACATTAACGTACTCTGAAAACCTGAACTTTGTGGACCCAAAAGAGAATTCATGGTTATTGCGGTATACATATCTGTGAACAAAGAGTGAAAAGCTTAATACCAGTAAGGGCTTCTTGTGCCCTCCAATAACGAAAACATTGGAGTCCCTTTCAAATAGGGACTTTTGCACACATGACAGTACTCAGGGTCACGGGTAAGGTTTCAAAGAAATGTGAAGCTAGTTGGAATTACAACTTTTTTTTGCCTCCAACAGCAACTATCATTGTTCATGCCACATAGCAAACTGCTTTGAAACTAACAGGAGTTTCAAATCAGTTTGGTGGGGCATATGGTACAAAGAGAAAAATAAGATTTCACCAGAATTACACAGGTTGTTGGGCACCACTTGAGTAGTGAATGACAGCCAACTTTTTTTAATATTAGAGTGTTCTTATGCAACTTGAGTACACAGAAATTCAATTTGGGCAGCCTTATTATTTTTCTGGAAATTTCCATTTCAGAGCTCTTTCCGAGATGTACAACATGAACGAATTATGGACATAATGGTTTAGCTATGAAGCATATTGAAAGTTTATATACATGACCAAAAAAGTCCAAAACTACATTATATACAATATCATATATATATACACGACTTATGTACAGAGGATATGCATAAATACTTCCAACAGGTTTTTGTTCTATAAATAACATGTTACATTTCATGAATGAAAGAACATGGAAGACACTAATTGTAAAATGAGGTGACAAACAGTGGTTTAATTTATAATACTGAAACTGCTTACTTAGGTACTCCATAGAAACCTCCAAGGATACAAATGTGTAACAGATTTAGACACAACAAAACATGAAGCCTAGTGGTACACAGCAAGAACCACTGGATATGTTTGTAGTGATCATTTGACAGAAAGCTGCATGATTCACAGCGTATTGTCCAGATATCACTGGAGTCAAGCTGCAATTCTATACAGATGTATTTGGGAGTAATCCCCACTGGACTTGATAGGGCTTAACTTCTGAGCAGCCATGTATAGCACTGCACAGACCGTATTGTTTTATTGAGGCACAATAATGAGTATTATCTTGGAACTGTTGAGACAAACTAATGAATGTAGACAATTCTCCAGTATTGGAAGAGGGCAATGTTTTCCCCTATCCCAAACTGATGGCTTAAAGGATATTGGGACACTGCAGCTGTTTTATAAAAAGCTACATGAATGTGTAAAGAGCTGCCATCTTAACTGAGACTTCTTTGAAATATTTTCACATGAATATGGTATTAAGGACTATTAGATTAATTCAATAAACAGGAAAAAGAGAAACGGTGTTATTATGTAATACATTATCTGCTACATATGTGTAATGCAATCCATATTCCACTGAAGTCAGTAAGAGACAGAAATGTTAAAACACAGTTTCACCTTAGTCAAAGCAATTGCTCAGAAAATTGGGATTTTTTTTAAAAAAACCCTCATTAAATTGTTCTCTTTTTGAAGTTTAGAGCTGCTGCAAAAATTAAGTTCTTCCAAGTACTGTAGGGAGGTGGGGGTTGATAATTTTTGGTTAATTCAGTTTTCCAAAAATAGGGGAGATGATTAAAATGATTCAAGTACACTTCATACTACTCTATGCTGGATCATGACTTGGATTCGAGCCATGAAGAGAGGAGGCAAGAAATATTATTATTAAAATGTCAAGCAACTCAGGAGTGGAGCCCCCGGTGGGGAAATGGATTAAACCCTTGTGCCGGTTGGTCTGACTGAAAGGTTGAATCCAGAGAGTGGGGTGAGCTCCTGTCTGTCAGCTCTAGCTTCCCATGTGGGGACATGAGAGAAGCCTCTCACAGGATGGTAAAACATCCAGGAGTCCCCTGGGCAACGTCCTTGCAGATGGCCAATTCTCTCACATCAGAATCGAGTTGCAGTTTTTCACGGGAAAAACCCCCCTCAGTAATGGATGCAAGGAGGCTATAAAGGGAGGATGGAATTGATTAGTTTTCCGTAAGGCTGATTGCCATAGTGATCTCAGTGGAATTAGAATGGCAGCAGTAGAGGCAAGCAGTGCCCATGCAGAAATGCAAACAAAATCCTTTGCATTATCATATGTATATAGGAAGACACAATGACAGAAATCTACCAAATATTGAAAAATGGGCCAAGATATTTTTCACAGAAAAAAAATCCCCAGTGTTGCTTAATTAGCTAATTACATGCCATTTGATCCCTCTAAACCAACTATTACTTGAATTAAATGAGACTCAAACTATTATGCCTGTTGAATATAGTTGAAAGCAGTCTACAGGTACTATACATTGCTAAATTGTTGCATGTCTAGATTCTTACAGAATGTAATGTCCTTTCCAGCAGCATCTGTGTATGGAAAGCAGTATTGAATGTGCTCTTAAACAAGTACCAAATGTCTTCAGCCTGAGACTGAAATAATGTAGTGAACACCTACAATTTGAAAGCAGTTAAGAGACATGATCCTTCCCCCATGCAGGTGGATACCAATACAAAAAGGTATTACCATGAGAAATAGGAAAATGAGTTTCTCTTCTGTCTTTAGAAATTAACTGCCATCAAGTCAACTTCAAGTTATGGCAACCGTACGAATGATAGGCTTTTAAGTCATATTATAATCAACAGCCTTACTGATGCAGGGCCATGGCCTTCTTGACTGAGTCTAAGCATCACAAACTCGTAAGATCACTCCTCGATGTTATTTACAATGAGTGGGTGTCTATATGCTTCCCTCCATCCAACCTTCCAATGCTGAGGGAAAGGGATGGGCAAGGAGACCAATCAAGGGCCATGAGAGGTATGCACAGAGCTTCCATTCCCTGCAAGACCTTGTTAATGTTGAATGTTCAAGGTCAAGGAGACAGATCTCTGCATTACGAAAAGGATCATGCTCTTAGTAACCACTGTATACAAACTGTTTTTTTAAAAAAGCAAAGTTAAGGCTCAAACAGCACTCATATATTTCAGAAATAAATACACATGAGATGACAATGTAGTCAACCAAAGACCTCTACTTTAAAAAAAAAAGACTGCTGTAAATATCAGTTGCATTTAGGAATACCAGTTGCCTTATGAAGATAATTTTTGCCATGTACACCAGTGCCTGGTGTATTTGTATGCAATCATCTGTTCCAAGACGAACAAATGATAAAATTTTAAAATTCTAATAATGGATGGAAAGGTGAAATTGAGAAGTATTATGCAGCCAGAGAATACTGTACTGTCAGTAAACTATAATAGGACCTCACTTTTACTCGCTTCAAAACATAAAGCTAAGCCATTGGCTATTGATAAGGGGATTCTGCTTTAATAGCTGATGACTTCAGTGTGATTTTACATGTAACAGCAACTGAATGGGAAAAAATACCTACACTTTTCTTTTTAAAAAATCTAAACGCACTATTAAGCCTCAAGAAGAAAAATGCCAATCACTAATTTGTCAAATATTCCTCCTACGTAGCCTTCGTTCATTTCAAGAGGCTTGCTTGAGTGTACCACTAATGGGGTAGGATGCTATATTTACTACATCATACATATTGGTTTACACATCATAGCCATTTTAGTGGATTTTTTTTACAAAAATTATGATTAAGTTTAGTAAGTAGAAATAGAACACGGTAGTTTAGATTGATTGGGTTAGGTATAGTACCATGGAATCTCAATAAATATTTGTTTGGTTTCACAATAACTAAATTATACATGAAACCCAGTTATGGTTTTGACTCTTTCAAATTAGTTAATCTTCAGCATAATAAGTTTTAAAAATATTTTTGTGGCCAAAAATATTATTTTAAGGATATGCCTTAACACATGTTGAATTTGGAACACTGATTAAACTGTTTACTGATTTCTTTCTAACCTTATTTGGATCATCAACTTACAAAAACATTTTTTCTTAAAGTCAAAATAGTGCTTTTGAGGTCCATAAAATTTTTGGTACAAAAATAATCGTGTTTTTTTCTCTCACACTTTCAATGGTTAGCTTAGCCACCCCTGCTGTAAACTAACATTTCTCACATCAATTGTTTCCATTAGGCACATTCAAGTAAATAATAAAATTTCCAAGTAACAATGAGAAAAGCCAAACGGCTTGATAATATTTTTTACAGAGAAAGCTGTCCATTCTCTGGAATGGAATAAATAGTCACTTCCCTCAGCCAACGATTCAGGTGGTTTGATGTTAGGATCCATTCCCATCGTGTAGAATAGTTTCTTTGTCAAAAAGTTCACCTATTCTACCATCAGAAGAACTAGCATCAAAGAATCTGCATTTCAAAGGAAGCAGAACGGCAAACGCGGATAAGAAGTCCTGTCAGTAGATGGTGCATGAACACTGTCCTTAAAAGCAGATAGTTAATGCCCATCAGAAGCAGCATTGCTTGTCCAATCCAGAATGATCAAGGTCATACTTCCAGTCATCACAAATATGCCACTGAGCAGGAAAAGAAGAGCCTACAAAGAGAGCAAATAACAAATACAAATAGCATTATTTCATCAGGGGAAAAAAGATAGAAACAACTGGCTGTGGATGCATTAGAACAGTGGTTCTCAACCTGTGCGTCCCCAGATGTTTTTGGCCTTCAATTCCCAGAAATCAGCTGGTAAACCGGCTGCGATTTCTGGGAGTTGTAGGCCAAAACACCTGGAGACCCACAGGTTGAGAACCACTGCATTAGAGGTTCTTAAGCTGTGGGTCCTGACCCAAAATGGCATCACCTTATCTTAACGTTGGGGTCAAGAAATATTTGATAATAGTAAAAATGTTCTGAATGCTACCCATTTCTACAAATCTGTTAGCAACAACATGTACTGTTTACAGTAGACTCTGACACAAATGCTTCAGTTATAATACACCAAAAAGGAAAATCAGCCTGTTTAGCAAGCCTTTGAAATGCTGATTTGTTATAAGTAAATGTTTGATCTTTATTCTTGTTTTACATACCTATATATGCAGGGTCACAAAAAATCTCAGGCTGAAAGGGGTCCCAAGTGGGGGGAAAAAATCTAAGTAGCCCTGTATTAGAGACTGGAATCTGCCTTTCAAGTTTGCTTTGTAATTTTAAGATAATGTTCCCGATACGTCTTGCCTTGAATGCATGGGGGTTGTGGCTTTGAAACTTATAAACAACATTCAAGCTTAGGGAATAGTCCCTTTACACATGAGTACATAGCTTCTTTTGAAAGAAATCATTGATCCACAACTGCTATATTCTAGTATCTTGCAAACTCTTAAACTTGGTTTTACATATGCTGGGACTTGCAATTTGTTTTTCTTTTTTAGTGTTTGAATTAAAATTATTTTATAGAAATTAATTCCATATTTTGGTCAGTGTTTAGTATATAAAAGAATACAAATCCCAAGTAAAGGTGAAGGTTTTCCTCTGACATTAAGTCTAGTCATGCCCGTTATTATTATTATTATCATTAAATTTATTTATACCCCACTTTATCTCCCCAAAGGGGCTTCAAAGTGGCTCGACATAAAAGCATTAGTATGCCCTTTAAAATATAGAAATATGCAAACATTAAAACAGAATTAAACACAAAAAGCACTAAAAAATCCATCAAAACATATTCAAAGTTTAAAAACCACAGCCCATGCACAAAGCCAGGTATGGAGTCACCACTCAGCTTCAATAAATCCATCATCATATTCCATTTTTACTAGTTACTTGAATAAGCATTATCTAGAACTACTTCTCCTCTGTACTTACCCCAATCTTCTGTACGGACTTCATTGGCTCTTTCTTCACTAGCTTGATGTAGAAAGCAGATGGAAGTATAAAGATCAGCATGGCAGCAGCAGAGGCACCTACATTAAAAATTAAAGATCATTTGGGATATTAGTTTCTCTTACACTATTCAGATTTCATTTGAAGTGCTTTCCTTTCGAATAAAATAAACAAGAGCAACTTAAGAACACTTACCGATGAATCCAAATATATCTCGGATTGTGGGGACGAAGATCACAAGGATGTTGGTGAATACCAAAAGGACAAAGGTAATAGCACAATGGCGCAGCCAGCTGAATTCCTTCCCTGAACACAACAGCTGTGTGATGGAGCTGCGGATCTGTAAATACAGGACATTTTATTGATGTTATTCATTGTTGGAAAAATAAGACGTCCCCTAAGTACTCATAGGATTGTGACAACTGAAAGAAACCAGCATGTGGGCTAAATAGTCTAAACTTTCTGACCAATTTAACCAATTATTTATGGATTGATATGCTTATGTATAACTTCAACACAGGATATGGATGAGTTCTGTTTTAAGGTAAATGAATTGGAGGTTATAAATGTAAACAGAATTGGGAGAGACCACATGGGCCTTCCAGTCCAATCCCCTCCCATGCAGGAAAAGTACAAAACACCCCCGACAGATGGCCATCCAGGCTCTGTTTAAAAGCCTCCAAAGAAGGAGCTTCCGGCATACTCTGAGGCAATGAGTTCCACTGCTGAACAGCTCTTACAGTCAGGATGTTCTTCCTAACGTTCAGGTGGAATCTCCTTTTCTGTAATTTGTACCTACTGCTCTGAGTCCTAGTCTCCGTGGCAGCAGAAAACAAGCCTGCTCCCTCTTACTTTTCTTGTTCTTTTTTTCTGTAACCCACTAGCAGTGTCTTAGATTAAAAGGGGGCTTCTCAAGTGTTAGGAAGCCTTGGTGAAGAAAATTCTCTTTAAAATCCTTTTTCTACTTTTGTCCTCTGCATCCCAGGCCACTTCTACACTGTCCTCCTATTCTAGGATCTGATCCCCTTATCCTAGATTATATGGCAGTGGAGACTCAGATAACCCAGTTCAAAGCAGATCCAGAGATGTAAGGATAGTATAGAAGGGGCCTAGATTCATCTTTTCCCTATTCTAAAATCCAGGGATTGAAGGAAGGGGTAATGGGCAGCTATGTTCTAAACAAAATCAGTTATGATCTTCATCTGCTCCTTTTACCACTCCATGACCATGTCAATGAGAGGAGGTGAATTGGGGGAGACTATCTCTTCCCTGCACAAGAATATCTTAGAAAAGGTAATTCTGAAGATGATCCCAAAATGGGGACAAAACTGACATTTTCTCCGGTGGGGATGAATAACTTAAACAAGAACAATTCTACTTTCGAGAATGGGTGGAGCACCTTTTAGAAGACATGTGTCAGACTCCAGGCCCACAGGCCAAATCTGGCTCACCACGTAATCTTACGTGACGATCCAGTTGCTGTACTACAACTCCTGTATTCTTCATTAGACATTATCATGACTAGAAATGATGGCAGTTGTGATACTATAACATCTGGAAGGCTGCGGTTTGTTCTGTTTAGTCAGGATAGTGAGGTTTGAGTTGAGGTATAAGCTTGGGGATATGATGTTTGACAAAACTATGGGGAAAAAAAAACCCTGAAGGGAAGTTACTTACTGGAAAAATCACAACTGGCACAGTAAGAGTCACAGCCATCAGAACAGCCAGACGTACAATCAAGAGAAGAACATCAGTTCCCAGGACTGCAGAGTATGTATGCAGCAATTCTGGCTCAACATGGCCTGCAAAGAAAATAGCATTTTGATAGACGATTAGTGACTTTAGCATATACAAAGCTCAAAAGCAAGATCTCTGTGCACTGTTTTAAACTTGCTAGTGGAATCAGGTGAAAACATAGCAATGCATAACCAGGACATTCACTTAAATGTTCCTTCTTGTTCAGTTTTGTTTGACAGGGTTATAAATAGACCAAATTCTGCATTCTGAATCACATCAGTAACAGCCCTTGGAATACAATGTGCTGTTCAAAGTATACCTTTAATATCAAGACAATATTGTTGTCACTAAGATTACTCATAAATGGATTAAATCCTGACCTCACTGCAGAATTATCGCAGTTTGACGCCACATTAACTGCAATGGCTCAATGCTATGGAATTTTGGAATTTGTAATTTTGTGGCAAATTTAGTCTTCCCTGCCAGAGAACTCTGGTGCTACAGCAAACGACAAATCCCAAGATTCCACAAGATGGAGATAAAACAGTTAAAAGTGCTGTCATGGTCTGTAGTGTAGATGGAGATGCCCTGGAATCTATAAATGCATCATATCTTGATCAAATCTACTCTAAGCGTGGCAAACACTAATTCTCAATTCTCAGTCACTGAGTGAAACCAGGTAGTCAACTATCTTTGCAGTTTTCTTCTGGTATACAATAGCGATGCACTGGCAAACACTGCAGACCTATGGGCAGGATTCCTAATAATAGCCTTGTCAATCCTCTTTGTAATAGTTTTATGTAGAGGAGACACGGATAACCGAATTTATACCCGACACAATACATTTTCCCAATACCCCCCACAAAGCAAGCCTAATTTGGAATGAACATCTAAACCGGAACTAATTTCAAGCCAGCATGATCTGTTTTCTCTTTCCCCCTCTCTTCCTTCTAGGAAACCTACGTTACTTTTTTGGACCATAACTTGCAGTATTCTATGCCGGTTGGGGGAATTCTGAGTTATAGCCCAAAAAGGAACATTTCAAAGGACTGGCCAAGCAGGAAAATCAAAGTGTTAGTGTACAAAAGAGAGAAGAAAATCTCCAGTTGGTGCCCTTTGCTTTTCTGCTCACCATTTTCTATGTTAAGATGATATCAGTGTGAATATTTATATATTAGATCAGTGGTTCTCAACCTGTGGGTCGTCAGGTGTTTTGGTCTACAACTTCCAGAAATCCTAGCCAGTTTACCAGCTGTTAGGATTTCTGGGAGTTGAAGGCCAAAACATCTGGGGACCCACAGGTTGAGAACCACTGTATTAGACGCTACTTCTTAACATACAATAGCTTATGTATTAAAGATAGAAAAGCATTCTATTTCACATCTGATACCAACCACATTACTTGCAATATGATCTTAAATATCTCTATTCAGAAAGCAGTCCCAATATAGCAGGACTTGCTTAAGATTAAATGCATTTCAGAATGTGGGCCAGGACTCCCTACAATCAACTGCTTAAGAATGAGCTACAAATACATTGAGGCAGTTAATTTAATGCAGTGCTTTTTGGAACAGTGAGTCAACTTTTCCAGGTTCTCAATGGAGACCACTTTTAGAGCGCAAATATTTGGACACTTTAATTGTCCTGATTCCACTGGGAGAATTCACATGTGATCTCCCCATAGCCCTGACTGAAAGCAAAAGAATATTAAATGGATACCGAAAAACATCTACATGGTGTTTCAAGCACAAAAACAAACAAACCCCAGAAACTGATACGGAAATGTAGCTATTTACCATAAAATGTCAAGTAGCCGAAGAGAGCAGCCAGAAGGTACATGAGGAACATGGCAAAAAATGAAACATTGGATACCTTCATCATTCTTCTGCGGCTTCGGCTATTTCAAAGGAATAAATGTATTATTACTTCTGAAACACATGCATTCATACCTATCTCATTTTCTATGAAACATATGATACATGCAATATATATAAGCCTTACCCTTTCAGTTCTTCATAAATAGGAAGAATAGCAGGATGGCAGACAAAGGAAAACGTCAGGATTGGTACAGCATAGACAGTCTGGGAAACAAAACAAAGGCATTTGTTAATATTTTTTATAACTTTTAACACCAAAAAAGCAAGGTCAGTTTACTTAGTAACTAGGCTGAAATCATAATCTCACTATTTTTTTAACATATTTTATGTTTATTACATTTCTATCACACCATTCTTCAAATGAGCTCATGTGATGTACACAATAACCCTCTGAGGTATTGACCCAATATTACTGAGAAAGATTTAGGCCTAAGGAGTGATCTGGCTTTGAACCTTACTAGTTATAGTTTAATGTTGTAAGCAATATAATATTCCTGGGAACAAGCAGTGCTGTCTACTTCCAAATAAACATATGGAAGACTTCATAATTAGCAATCCTTTGAAAGCTGTTCCATGTTTTGGTGACAGATCATTCCATTCAAAATAAATTAAGTATTTTAGCCTTCCGTTCATTAGGATGTGGATTGAACCCTATGGCTCAATTTCTATCTGTAGAAGAAAATGACAGGGACGCCAATTTGATACTATGTTCATCATGACCAAAATACATCTACCACAATCCCTATTGCCACTTTTTCTTATCAAATTATATAGTATGTGTAGTAGCTTAGTGAAAAAGTGTGCATATTTACAGATGTCAGTAAAAAGTTAAAATATATTGCATATCTCTGCAGATATGATATTGCCATGGAAATCAATGGCAATACTAGCACAGTGAAGTTGTCTTGAAAACATACTGTGACATGGTCTACTTAATATGTAATATACAGATATTAAATAATTCTCTTCTCTTCTCCAATAGGATAATTATAAAAGATTTAAGAATGTGAGTGGTTTCATACATGCTCATGTGTGCCCAAAGGCAAAAATTCTGTCCAGTCCACATCATCATGCATTTAATTCAAGGATGACAGAAGATACACTCGATCTTATAACAGGAACACAGTGCTCTTGTAAGAGAAATAGGAGCTTTCAAAAGTCAATGAAGCTTTGAAAGCATTATAGTCACAATTCTAATCAGAATATATAGATTCAGTTGCTCTTCCAGGTTAGTCTTTATGTTTACCTGTGAATTGAAGATGAAATACTTTGGTGTGCACGCATCATCATTCGTTACATTGACATCAGTTCCGTGAAAAGGTGAAACAGTTGACAGGTGTTCTTGTGTGGCATTCAGAGTTGCATTAATCAAGTCATGTTCCAGCCCACAAGGAATCTGAAATTTCTTGCAAATGACCTAAATAAGGAACAAAAACAGCACAAACTGTTAACTTCCTCTGCATCCATTTGTTTAAGACCTAATGGCTGTGAATAATTATGGGTAAGGAGCCATTTCATTTGGACCAGGCATTGCAAGCATTTCAAATTATACAGAAGAGACTATACTTACGACAATGAGAAAGAAGACCATGCACAACAAGGAAAATCCACTGGTGTAGCCCAGATAACCTGTAATAAAGAAATGTTTTGACTTTTGGCTGTGTTTATTTCATCTCTAAGAGGACAAACATCACATGGTTTCTATGGCTCAGAAATGGGTTTCTAGGGCAAGATCTGTAAAAAAAATTCTGGCACTTTTACAGATTTTACAAATGCCATCTTACCATTCAACATATATGCTTATACTATGGTTTTCCTCTGCATTCTCAGCTGAGAAACCTATGGTCCTCAGAAGGTGTTAGAATCCAATTTTCACCAGCCTTTGCCAACTTGTTTATGTTGGGATAGTAACTCATCAATATAAGGAGGACCACAATTTGTTCAACTATAAGTTAAACTGAGGCCCCTTCTATACAGCCATCTAGCCCAGATAAGTTAATTAGATTTACAGAGCAATTCTATACAAGTAAGTCCCAGTGGGTTAAGTTGGACTTTTTGCCAGTTATAGCATTGCAAACTCTCATCCCTCGGTGGTGCAATGGGTTAAATCCTTGTACCGGCAGGACTGTTGACCGGAAGGTCAGCAGTTTGAATCCGGGAAGCTGAGTGAGCTCCCATCTGTCAGCTCCAGTTTCTCATGCAGGGACATGAGAGAAGACTCTCACAGGATGGTAGAACATCCGGGTGTCCCCTGGGCAACGTCCTTGCGGACGGCCAATTCTATCACACCAGAAGCAACTTGCAGTTTCTCAAGTCACTCCTGACAAAAAACAACAACTTTTTCTTGTTTTTTTTTGTTATTTACATATGCTTTATAGAGCTCATGTAAATCTCATCTTTCAGGCACCACAATTTATTTATTTAATACTACCAGATGTGCAGCTTGTCTAATGGAAAGCTTCACACATAAGATAAAGAAACAAAAAGGCAGTTATGTCTTCTAATTTAAAGATGCCGGACAGTCATTATTTATTTTCCAGCCTGTACCTCTAGTATTACACAAAAAATCAATACCTACTACTTACCTAAATTTTTCAGTAGTGATAAAGGTAGAATCAGCACCAAAGATACCAATATGACCAAGTAGTCACCATTGATATACCACTGCCTATAAGAAAAGCAAGAATAAGCACTGTTAAAGTTATCATATCTATGTATCATTCCAAATAGTGTATTGTAAATATATATTGCAGTAGAATGAAGGAAACAAGAAATGGAGCAGAGAAAATCTAGACTGGAGTACCTCATACACACAAGTATCCAATTCTGACTATGGATCTATAAAACCCCATTCTTTGGAAAATTTTGCTCTGCATTCCAAGAGGGATGCCCATATTCTGTCAGCAATCATATTGAAGATTTGACAGCTCAATTTTAACTAAGTTTCCTCACAGAGAAATCTATGGATTTGACTTCTTCCTTAAGAAGGATGCCTAGGTTTGCAGCTAAGATTAACTTCCTGCTCTCTTCTTTATACATATATTCTGTGCTAGCTTCCACACTTCTCCTGTTTCCCTACATGCATTTATTTCCAAATAAATCCTCCTGACTCTTAAGAAATGTATAGGAAACACCTGAATTTAACATCAGAGGCCTATTCTTGGAAGTCTGAGAAGAAATGAACTTTTCTTTCAGAAAATATGAGCACACTTATATTTAGAGTAAGTCTAGTCAAGACATCGGTGGTGCAGTGGGCTTGCTGACCAAAAGACTGGCGGTTCGAATCTGGCGAGTGGGGTGAGCTTCTGCTATTACACCCAGCCCCTGCCAACCTAGCAGTTTGAAAATATGCAAATGTGACTAGAACAATAGGTACCACTCTGGCAGGAAGGTAATGGCGCTCCATGCAGCCATGTCAGCCACATGATCTAGGAGGCATCTATGGACAATGCCAACTTTTTGGCTTAGAAATGGAGATGAGCACCACCACACAGAGTTGGACACAATTGGATTAATGTCAAGGGGAAACCTTTACCTTTACTAGTCAAGGGCACAGGGATGTGGGAGGTATATCCCTATTTCCATAGGAAATTGATGTGATTCTCATAGAAATACAGAAAATAAGAAAATAAGAGCTGGGAAGAAACACTAGAAGGCAATGTTGTCTCTTATGGAGATCTCTAATCATGTTCCATAAGGGAAGGACCATGTTCTAAAAAATCAGACACCCTGCTGCTAAATAAGAATTACTCCTTACCACAAGCCAAAACAGAATAGGCAAGAGTCTACAGAAAGTCGAGAGAGCAAACGTTACACTGAATTTCATATGTTTAACTGATGTCCATATGTTAATGATTATAATGAGATTTAGGCATCCTTACTTATCTCCTGAATTCCAGTGAAATCATTTGCCTGAAGCAAAAAACATCAGAATTTCAAAGTTATGCTTGAGTCCTAAATGCTTATGTGCAAAACTTACATATCTAATTTTACAAAAATGCCTATAACCAAGGTTTTTGTTCCACTACGTTAAATTTTACATTGTATTGCATAAATATACTAGAGAAAACACTTCAAAAATGTTTTCTTTTTTCTATTTTTTTCTGGGGAAAACAACTACTACTCTGCAACTTTATTTTTTTAACTGATGTAGTTTATCATTTTGTTTTTGCAAGGCAAACAGAACTATGTTACTGAATGGTTAATAGAAATGCTGCAAATAAATAAAAAAAACCCTGCAGTCTATCTAACAGCAAACCTAGAAACAGTATAACAGTATTCAATTTACTAGATATTCTAATTTTGTCAATTAATTTCAGGCATTCTAATTTTGAAACATGACAAGATCTGTGTCATGTTTCAAACAGATTGTCCAAGAAATAGGCAAGCATAACAGAAGCCTCTCCTTTGTTTAGGAAATTTCATTTGTGTGTATCTACATAGGTATCATATCCAGATCCAATGCTCCTTTCTGTTCCTACCAACAGTTTTCCTGCTGACTTACCCTGTGTTCTCTTCTATGTTCATAAATGCTTTGATGACCAATGGTAATTCATATTTCACTATGTAGAGGTAGCTTGACATAGCTGTAGGAGAATAATATTGTAGATTGTTACAAAAATAGAACATGGAACAGAAAAGGGAGCCACCAAACACATTCCATAATACTGTTTTCATGCATTAGTGGAACTGTGTTGTGTGACAAAGTCAGAAGAGAAATGAAATCCATTCTAAAGCTTGTAAGTGAAGAAGGGTATATATCTGAACATTCTTACCTCCGATGTTCTGCATTGTAATTGATCCAGAGGCTGCTAACTTCCCAGCCATGCCAAATGCCTTCATTCCCAGTTGTTCATATAACAAAGATCCTATAGCCACAGAGAAACATTTGCAATTATTACACAGCCCAACAAAAAATAATTTCTTGTTGTCTTGATTTTTAGGTCTGTTTCTGGGGTTATTTGAGATACTGATTCAGAAAATTGCATTGGCAAGACAACACCAGTTCTAGTTTCTTAGCTATGGTTATCATGATTCTTTATGGGTGAGCAGATGGCGATGGGTAGATGGCATATGTTCTGTATCTCAAAACACAGAACTGATAAAGGAAAATTGGTGCCCTTTTAAAATCAGCAGGTCAAATATACCCAGAAACAGGTCTAACATTTGAGGCACCAAAATGTGTGTGGGTCAATCATTGATACCTTTTACTACTAGATTGGGATGAAACTTGGCTAACAACTTTTAAAATAATGCAATCAAAAAGATATAAAATGCAAATATTAAAATGGAGTTAAACTAATTCTATCAAACTGGTTTATTATGATAATGAGAGAGAATATTTTATTCAGAAATTGTTGTTATCATACCTCCTTCATTGGCAGTCTTCAGAAGAAGGTGAACGGAATACAAAGAAAACAGCGACACAAATATTAGGAGAATTCTAAAAACAAACACAAAACAGAAATTTTGATTTGACTAAAGCAAGTATTAAACATAGCAAGAAAATATAATAAAACACAAGAGGAATTCGACCAATTTTATGCACTTCTACCCTCACTTATTTCAACAGTAAAGTATATACAGTTGTGCTTAAGATTTTCATTGAAACCAATAGCAATTAAAAGTAGCATTTTTTGAAAAAAATTCATCTTTCAAAAGTAACTATTGTTTTTAAAAATATCTAAGAATGAATGTGACAACAATAGTGGAAGATCTTTATTGTGTCTGAGGTTATAAGACATTTTCCATAAAGGATTACAAATAGCCCAACTGACCTACCAGTTAATTGGATTGCCTTGATTTAAAATAGTTCAGACTCACAATGGATTAAATCTCTGTTCTTTTAAGCTGACAAGCCCTTTCTACCAAAATGTTACCAAACTTCTGAGACGCAAATAGTTGGAGGGGTAAAGAAAGCTCTAATTCTTTTACTTCTGTTTGCTTTAGTAGTTTTACAAATTAACATTGGAACTCATGATACAAATTTTGTTACAGATATGTAGCATCTAGCAATATTGAAGTAACCCTTGGGATGAGACAGAAGATTAGACAGAAAAATCTAAATCCTGTTTAGAGTATCTTCTGACAAAATTAAAGAATCAGGATAGGGCAATATCCACCCAAAAAGGCCATGACAATCTGTAAAATGCTGCCATTCCTTCTCAAAATAAAGCACGTGGAAATGAGTTCAATTTGGTCACAAAAACATGTAATACAGACGCGTGTGGACAGGCCTCGGTGTCTTATTCAGAAAAATTCATTCAGCTTTGTAGTAGAGAAGCTAAATTTACACAGCAGTGGTTCTCGGCCTGTGGGTCCCCAGATGTTTTGGCCTTTAGCTCCCAGAAATCCTAACAGCTGGTAAACTGGCTGGGATTTCTGGGATTTGTAGGCCAAAACATCTGGGGACCCATAGGTTGAGAACCACTGCTATAGAGTAATTGTTTTATTCAAGGAAGATAATGAATTCAACTAGATTTCACTTCTGATTTAAAACTCTTATCCTGTGAACAATGATCAATATCTACCAGTAAGTATCTAATCCACATGCAATACAATCCTGAACAAAAATAGATTCCATCAGAGCCCATTAAAACCTGTTTTCGAACATTAGTACACAGTATTGCTACTTTAAAGTATATTTAAACTCAATATCTGTTAAAAAAAACCAAACAAACACAATACAACTTTGGACAATGTAGTACTAAGTGTCTGGGGAAAAACTACTGATTTCAATTTTTTAAAAAACTCCACTAATGTAAATGAGCTTTTTTAAAAATGGGAAAAAACAAACATTGCTATTCAGAGGGTACTGCTAGCATGCATTATGCTGATGACATTGTAACCACTGCAAAACATTCTTGGAGCATGAAATGGCACATCTTAATACCAAATTACTTTTATCTCGCTCTCATTTTAAAAGTGTATGGCACCATTTTGCTTGGATTCCATTTTCCATATAAATTTACAAATTCAATTAATTGGCAAAAAATGCATAAGGGCCATACACCAACATGTGCTTCATACTTCAGTGGGTTTTTGTGGCAGCAGTAAAATTACCAGCATATTGCATGTTGAGACATCGAAAGAGTGATCAGCAGTGAGTCATTTTGAGGACCTGAGAAGACAGAAGGGAAGTTTAAATGTGCATCGCTTAATGCCAATGAACTGGGCAAACTGAAAATACAGAGTGAAATGATAAAATGTGGAGGAATTAATAGCTCCTCTTAGCAATGGTTGATAGCTCCTCTTAGCAATGCACACAACATTTTTGAGTATAATTACTTGTTTCAATGCAACATTTAAAGAGATCTGTGAGCTGCAGGTACACAACATCACTGTCTTAAAGCCCTTTTGAGTCTCTCAGCATTATGATGCATACGTGAAATACAGAAAAGCAGTTGTAAAAACTGGTTTCTAATGATGCAAGAAGGCAGATTTTCTATCACAAAAGCCCTTAGAGTAGTAGAAGCAGACAGAAGGGCATTTATGTTTTTTTAAAAAAATGATTGTACACATTTGTTTATGGTTTTATAAAACATCTGTGAATGGGAATATGCTTTGATCACTATGAAGAAATTATTATATTTTGTAATCTATAAATATTTTGTCATCATCTTTTTTGTCTCTATGTCCAGAGAAGACTGCATTGAAATAGGCAATACCATGGTTATATATCTTTCCAAGTACGTTCTTCCATAACAAATGACACTGCCCCTAAAGGAAATAATTATACTACATAGTGATATGGGAAAGACATCTCCATATCATCCTAGACTAAGATTCCACTTATTAGTTGCTGTGACTTTTCCAGACTGTATGGCCATGTTCCAGAAGCTTCTGGAACATGGTCATACAGTCCAGAAAACTCATAGCAACCCGGTGATTCTGGACATGAAAGCCTATGACAACACACTTATTAGTTGTTTGCATTATGATCCTTTCAACTCCCTTACATAATTTCAAAGAATACTGCTTTTTTAACATGAAAAGGATACTTTGATGCACACCGAAACTAGGATAAATTGTATTACTGCATTTTTTTAAAAAAGAGCAAGACTCATTGCTCTGCTAAGAACAGAATGGTGACTTGGTTATAATGGATGTATATCTATCTAGCCATCTAACTGCAGAACATTATGGCCAGAAGCCATGGTGAACAAACAGGGAAGGTTCTTCTCCACTAGTGGAAATATTTTACAGGAACATTTGTGCTACAAAAAGAATACATCTCTGAATGCTGGAAACAAACATTATGTAATTCAAGGACAGATTCCCAAACACTAAATGAGATAAGTGAATGAGAAACAAAACATAGTTCGGTGCTACTGAGAAACAGAGATGCAACTGATATCAATTGGACTCAAAATGCTTACATGGGACCAGCTCCTGCCCTTTGTGTTTTAATTGACTTATAGCCTGTTTCTGAGATCAGGAGAGTGAACAAAATTGATGGTATTTTGTAGCCCAAAAATGAGAATAACAGGGCTGTTCCGATGTTTGATCACAATCCCCTAAATTTCTCACCATTGGCAATGCTAGCAAGAGCTGGATGGGATTTGCTATGCAACAACATTTAGGATCTCTAAGTCATGTTTACCTCATTAAGATTTAAACTAGTTCTGTTCCTATACTCCAGAAAACGATTTCCACTCTAAAATTGTCTGTTTTAGACTTAGAAATAAACTGCAAACGCCTGCAGAACTGACATGCACTCATAGGGACAACATCACAGTATTGCTAATTTAATGCATTCCAGGACTTACACAAAGAGAGCAATTCCAGTGTTTGCCATGGCATAAGACAGTCCAAGGATGCCACTGCCCACAATCGCATTGCTCAGGTTAAATACTGACATTCCAAAGGAAGTAGTACCTGGTTGCTGAAAATAATAAGAACAAGATTATAAGGATGATGTGACCATTTAACACCCAATAATTTATAATTGGCTTTTATCTGGATAGAAATTCAATTCACTTGGGAGCAGATATCAGGGCATGCTTACATATTCAGTTTCATATTTCTTCTTTCCTGGATTGCTTTCAAGTAAAAAGTTTTGGTTTTCTGGATCCATGTCTACATAATGGCTATAAGAAAAGGAAGGAGAGAAAAAGGAGCTTTAAGTAACATTCTCCAGCGTCCCATTTAAGCATCAAAAATAGTTTTGGCTTTCATAGCTAGAGCTCACGAATTTAAAAGTTAATTTTTGACTTGTTTGTTTGAGTGTATTTGTTTGTTTGCTTTTCTTTCCAAACTGGGACTTGAGGTACCTAACTCTGTTAATGATTCAGGCCAAATATTTGCTCTGTGCCTCCACCCATTTATGGTACATGCAAACCAGTGATTCCTGTCTTGGGATGGTTTAGTGCATCCACTCCAGATGCACTAAAATTTATATCCACTCCAGATATAAATTCAAACTTTAAAATTTATATCCACTCCAGATATAAATTCAAACTTTAAAGGAGCTATCCACAACGTTGAACCCTATTTTGTATCTCAGCACTTTGATAGCTCTTTTAACATTCAACCTAAAACCTAGAGTGGATTCACCACCTTACTGACATGGGAGTCGCTGACTTCAAGAGTTTGAGGGGGCCCTTGTTGGAGTTCAACCCCTCACTGCCCAAGTCTCAAGTCCTCAATGAGGAACAATTTAGTTAGTTTAGTATTGACTAAGGGAATTCCCTTCACCCATGTCTCCTGTATGACAGTTGGAATGTACCTAATTTCTTCTCTTCTCTCTTTCTGATTAGTTGTTTAAAATTGATACTTTTCTACTGCAAGTTCTTTAAATCTGACTTCTGCCTTCTTACACTTTAATATGGAGAGTATGTGCTTTGAGATCTCTTTCTCTGCTTGTGTGTCAGGAGAAATGTAGTAATTGAGTTTTTCCCCTCTCTTGAAATCTTAGAAGAGACGGACGTTAGAGTACCTGAGACCCAGTTCTGGATTATTAAGAAATGCAGTTATTTATTATTGTAAATAAACCTTTTGTGATTTTTAAAAGATTGGATTCTGCTTATTCACCTCCTAAACTCTGAATTCTTTACAGCCACATCACACAGCACTACACGCTCTGCTTGCTAATGAGCTGATGCTCAACTTTTGTATCCTGCTTGTTTTTGGATGCTCTGCCTAATCTTAGGGGAGTTTTCCCTAACACCTCAACACTGCAGATTTAATGCACTTTGACACTTTAACTGCCATAGCTCAATGCTAGGCATTCTGGGATATGTAGTTCGCTTCCAAACCATACCCAATATCACATTTGTCCTTCTTTATGCTATACTCCTCTTGATGCAATTTAGAAAGAATGGCATTGGCTCTTTTCACCGCAGCACCACAATCTTGGCTCATGTTCATCTTGGGGGCTCCTAAGACTCCTAGATCCCTTTCCTATGGTTCTATATCGTTACATTTCATTTTATTGCATATAATAAAAATGCCCGCTTTACCAGAGAAGGCTACAGACCAGGCATGGGCAAACTTCGGCCCTCCAGGTGTTTTGGACTCCAACTCCCACAATTCCTAACATCCTCAGGCCCATTCCTTTTACAAAAGGAAAGAGCCTGAGGCTGTTGGGAATTGTGGGAGTTCAAGTCCAGAACACCCAAAGGGCCAAAGTTTGCTCATGCCTGCTATAGACCTTGTAAAACCACAACACCCATGATTTCGTAGCATTGAACCGTTGCAGTCAAAGTGCATTAATTCTACAGTGTAGATGTATTTTCAAATTCTAAGCTATTGGCTTCCATGTCATTAAGGTAGTGAACTCAGCTTGGGTTTTTGATTGAATTTTAAAGGTGTAAACCCATAATAAAAAGAGTACAGTGGAAAATAAACAAATCTACTTTTGTCCCCTCTATTCCCCCGCCCCAAAAGGGATGATCTGATTTGGATTTGGATGGGACTCTATCTTATAAAAGCCTTATAGAAACACCCCTTTCGGACCTCTTCAGAGCAGCCTGCTTGGTGGGGTAGGGGTAGTTGAAGTCGTTGCTGTTCGAGCTGTAGCTGCTGCTGTCCTCATCTGGGGTGGTGTTGAGCTTCCCCATTTCAGCTTTGGTCATGATGGGATCGGGGATGTCCCTTTTAGGTACCAAACTAAGCAAGGATGGGGGATGCTTGGGTGGTGGTGGTGTTGCTGTTCCTCCTGATCTTTTGTCCTTGGTGGCTGGACTTGCCTTGCCTGTGAAGGTAAGGGGGGAAAAAAGAGAGGGGGGAGAGACAAGGGAGGGAAGGCGTCAATACTGCAGCAATGCTGCTCCTCCAAAGTGGATCACGTGACTGGCTGCTGTTGCTGCTGCTCTGATTCAGAGGCAGAGTGGAAAAGTACCAGCCAGGGAAGGGAGGGGGGCAAAGCCAGGGGATGGGAAGGAAAAGTACAAGGGAGCGAACAAAAGATGATCTCCACAGAGAAGGGGGAGACTTCTGCTTGGAAAAGCCCACAGACCACTGTTTGCACCAGAGATGCTCTTGGATGGACCTACATCTCCAAAACCACCTCTATGGAAGAAGCTTTGGCCTTTTCCTCTCCCCAAGGACCCTTATTATTTATTATTATTATTATTATTATTATTATTATTATTATTATTATTATTATGTTTATTGGATCCAGATCTTGAGACTGAACCCACCCAGAGGAATCAAGTGACTGAGAGGTTGCAGGAAAATTCACTTAACACAGACCTCTGTATTTCAGGTTTGAGAAACCACCCAACTCCACCCCTTTTCCTCTGGGTATTAAAACATGATGCAACCTGGCTCTGAAATTGACACAGTTTCCTCTCTTTCCCTGAACCCTCTCCTTCTTAAACCCAGTCTCAAGAAGATATGTTTCTATTAATCAATCAATCCGTCACTATTATTGATAGTGTGAAAAAACCTCCTTTCCTTGGGGAAAATATTGCTAAGCAGTCACAAGACTGCACCATTCGTTTTCGGGTGCGCTTGATTCATTCATTCATTTGTTTAGGAGCTAAAAGCCCCAACTAGGGAGTTCAATAAATAAATAAAGACCCATCTCATCTAGTCTTACATAAAGAAACCAACCAGAAGGACATGAAATGAAGCATTGAATCCTCTTCCCAAACCATAAAAATATTCAATTCCCAAAACTACAGAAATATTATATATTAAATATTATATTATATATTAAATATTATTTTTACCCAAAACATGGAAGCATTCTAATATTTCATCTCCTTCCCTAAACGGTAAAATATAATTCCAGCCCTTTCCCCAAACTATAGAAATACCCCATTTTTTCAAGGCCGTCCCAAAATTATAGAAATATTCTAGTATTTTTACCCCCCCTTTACCGCATACATGGAAGCATTATATTTTATCCTCTTCCCAAAACTGTAAATAATATTTCCACCCCTTTTCCCAAACTATAGAAATACCTCAAACATTCTCTTTCGAGCCCTTCCCAAAAGCTATAAAAATATTATAATATTTTACCCAAAACATGGAAGCATTATAATATTTTGTCTCCTTCCCAAAACCATAAATAATAATTCCAGCCCTTTCCCCAAACTACAGAAATACCCCAAACATTCTCTTTCAAGCCCTTCCCAAAACTATATAAATATTATAATATTTTACCCCTTTTACTGCAAGCATGGAAGCATTCTAATATTTTACTTCTTTCCCAAAACAGTAAATAATAATCCCAGCCCTTTCCCCCAAACCATAGAAATATCCCAAGGTTTTACCTCAATCAATCAATCAACCGAAGGATCTATAAAGCTTCAGATCAGAGATGTTTCTTCCTTTTTGGATGAACCGTTAATATTAAGTCTTCTTCAACGGATCAGATCAAAAGAGCCAAATTTCTTGACTGGCAACACGTTTAAAAAAAACCTCAGTAGAAAAAAATTAAATTAAAATCTTAGAAAAAAATAAAGTCAGTATAAAATAATAATAATAATAATTTATGATACTTTCATTAAATTAAAAAAAAAGAAAGAGTTGAGGTCAACGAGAGCGAGGTATTGTTATTATGATGAGTATTGCGGCGTTCTTGATTGCAAGGTCTGTATTGCAATGAGAATGCCACGCGCGGGAAGTGAAGGTCCAGGTTTAAGGGAATGCATTGCAATGCCCCGGCTTTTCAGGGCAGGGTGCGGTGACGTCAGGGATGGGCGGAGCCAGGGGAGGGAAACTGGGCTCAAGGTTTCCCCCTGGGCAATTTTCCTTTGCATACCAACACACACTGCATTTCCTCGCTCCGCCCCCCGGGGGTCCTTCTGAGGTTACCCTAGGGACGCTGTGGCTGTATTTACACCAGGCATGGGCAAACTTGGGCCCTCCAGGTGTTTTGGACTTCAATTCCCACCATTCCTGACAGCCTCAGGCCCCTTCCTTTTGCCCCTCAGCCGCTTAAGCGGCTGAGGGCGAAAAGGAAGGGGCCTGAGGCTGTCAGGAATGGTGGGAATTGAAGTCCAAAACACCTGGAGGGCCCAAGTTTGCCCATGCCTGGTCTACACTGCTTGACACCACTTTAGCTGCCACGGCTCAATGCTATGGGATCCTGGGATTTGGTGAAGCGCCAGCACTCTATGGCATCATAGACACCTTGCAAAACTACATCTCCCATGATTCCATAGCAAAGTCCAAAACCATCAAAATGAGTAAAATCTGGCTACCAGTTTCTTTTATAAAAACCCCCTCTAAAATCAGGACAGTAAATAGAGAGCAACACTAAAAAAGCAGGGGAATTTCAGACAAGAATCAATTAGGGCCATCTCACACCTAACAAATAATTTTTCTCCCCCCAGGCAGCAATCAGCCAGGCTTTGAAGCTGAAAGGCCATTAAATGCTAATCAAGGTGGCCAATTGCAACATTAAAAAAGCCCTCTAAAATCAGGAAAGTAAATAAAGAGCAACACTTAAAAAAAAGCAGGGGAATTTCAGGCAAGGATCAATTAGGGCCAGCTCACACCTCCCAACAAAGGACTTCTCCCCCCCCCAGACAGCAATCAGCCAGGCTTTGAAGCTAAAAGGCCATTAAGTGCTAATCAAGGTGGCCAACTGCAACTTTTCCTCAGCTTCAGAGGAAAGCAAAAACAATCCCTCATCTGAACAAATCTTGAAAAGCAAAACCCATCATAGGTTTGTTTTAGTCACGCCTGATCAGCCAAGAAAGCTCATTGAGTGATCTTGGGTAAATTACACTCTCTCAGCCTCACAGGAAGGCAAAAGTAAATCCCTCTGAACAAATCTTGCCAACAAGACCCCCATGGTAAGGCCACCTTTGATCAACTTAGGTCAGAAATGACTTGAAATCATACAACAGTGACACAGAGACTACGTTTCTGCAATATCTCCTGACATTTATCAAGGTTTGGAAAGATTGCATGATAAAACTAGTGGTTTTACAATATTTATTCTAGCTGTGACATCAGGGACAGAAGATCTGGATGAAGATGCTGCCAAAGATAAAAGTTCCACGTTGGTAAACCTACATCTGAAGAACGTAACTGTAAATATTGCGAACATTATTGGCTCATGCCCTTTTCTATAATCAAAATGTTGCTCTAATACTGATAATCCTGCATATTGGATTTTAGCAGTGAGGAACCAATGTTGCTCATGATCCTTCTGTATTATGATTAACCATAACAGTAAAAAGGTTCCAGTTCATGTCTCATGATGATGACAGCAAAATCTCCAAGAGGAAAAGAGCATCAGTTATCCTGACTGATATCTCTCATGTGAGTTGCTCACTTATTATTATATTTATAAAATGTGATGTCATGCCTTTCTAGATAGATTATGGATACTGTTTGAGAGCAATGTCCAAATGTATATTTATTTCAATGTTCAATATGTCACCTTCATTTTTAATGAAGTGAGTCTCCTGAAGTTGTATGTGGGGATTTTGGGAGTGAAAAGCCAAATAATGATAACAAGAATTTAAACTTCTATTATGAAAGTAGGAAAATAAATATTGCATCTTGTTTCTACTAATTTTCTCTGTTTTGAAAAAAAAAAGTTTGGGTTTTTTCCCCTCTGTAATTATTCTTTGCTCAGCCTTCATGAAAAAGATAGAAAGAGTGCAAAAAAAAAAAAAAAAAAAAAAAAAAAGGGGGGGGGGAATAGCTTTCCTCACTTTTAAACTGAGGGTGCATCTACACTAGAATGAATGTAATTTGACATCACTTTAGCTGCCATGACTCACTATTATGGAATCATGGGAACTGTACTTTGGGGAGGCACCAGCTAAAGACCTTGTAAAACTACACTCCCAGGATTCCATAACATTGACTTATGACACTTAAAAGTGATGTCGAACTGCATTAATCCTACAATGTAGATGCATCGTAAGTGGTATTAAGACTTCAGGCACAAAGGGTTCATTACACTACAAGATGAATAACTGCCATGGCTCAAGTTAATGGAATCCTGTAGTTCCACAAGATCTTTAGCCTTCTCCTCCAAAGAGTGTTGGTCCCTCACCAAACTACAACTCCCATAATTCCATACAATTCAGCCAAGGCGATTAAAGTGATGTCCAACTGCATTAATTCTACAGTATGTAGATACACTTACAGTGGAGTGGAACTGAATGTCAATATTCAAAGGGTTATGCAGGGTGTTACAGGTCTTTCATATCTCTGCATTGACCAGTGATGTGTAAAAGAGATCAGTCTTCCTCAAAATCAATTCCCAGTTCAGAACTTTCTCTGAGAAGATTCCCATTGTCATCAGTGCAGTATTGAGGACTCTTACTAATATACCTTTGATACATTTCCTTGATGTTTTTATATCTTGTTGTTTTGAATGGTTTTAAATAGATTGATTATATATTATGTGTTTAACTGTGTCTTAGCTTGTAAATTTTGTTTATGCTAGGCTTAGTTTCCATGTAAGCTGCCCCGAATCCCTTCGGAGAGATGGTGGCGGGATATAAAAATAAAGTTGTTGTTGTTGTTGTTGTTGTTGTTGTTGTTGTTATTATTATTATTAGAAACACAAGATTAGTACACAGCAAACAAGATCACTATGCTGGTTGTTGTATTGGATCACATGTCGAACACTTCCTAAGTGTCTAGCACTATGTGATGCATCGGTGAATAATACGTGCAGATCCCAGTAGGGTGGCCTTTTGCAGCTGACAGATGGTAATTTTGTCAGTGCTGATTGTGTTTAAGTGCAGGCCAAGGTCTTTAGGCACTGCACCCTGTGTGCCAATCCCCACTGGGACCACCTTGACTGCCTTGTACCAGAGTCTTTGCAGTTCGATTTTTAAATCCTTGTGATTGTCACCTTTTCCAATTGTTTCTCTTCAATCCTGCTGTCGTCTGAGCTTGCAACATCTATGATCCATACTTGGCTTTTTAACATGATCGTGAGGTCAGGAGTATTGTGCTCCAAAACTCTTGTCAGTCTGAATTCAGAAGTCCGAGAGTGATTTGAAGTGTTCATTTTCTGTAACTTTTTCAGGCTTGTGATCCTACCAGTAGTAGTAGTTGTTGTTGTTCTTCTTCTTTCTCCTCTTCTTCTTATATGCAGAGTGCCATGAAGCTATAATCTTTGTTCATACCTTGATAATGGAATTTGTGAACATAACAAAAACCAGCAATTTCTCTCTTTTTTTTTAAGTCTTCCTTGTTCAATGGTCACAACCTGTACATATCTTATTTTATGTCCAAGAAAGTTGAACTGGCTGAACAGGTTGTGAACTTCTAGTCTCACAAAGTAGTATTCCAACAGTTGATTGCTTTACTTGCCATTTGGTATATATAACTCATAAAGATTTGCATAGAACCGTGACATTTTTTCCTTCCTGCCTGTTATAGTAGTACATGTGGCCTTTAACTATATCTTTTTAGTAAACTCATTGTGGGTTGAGTAAACAAAGGACAGTGTCAGTATAGAAAACCCAGGGCACTTCAAGACAGGCCCTATATCTTAGGATATGACCCCAGATTTTCTGCTTTAAACTGCATTATATGAGTCCACATTGCCAGATAATCTGAGACAAACAGAAAACCTGGAATTTTGATCCTGAGATGTAGGGCCTGTCTGGAAGGGTCCTGAGAATACTTAAAAGTACATCTCAATAAAATGCAGGTTGACATCACTTGCACTGCCCTAGCTCAATGTTATGGAATGTTGGGATTTGTAAAAATGTGTTGTCGAAGGCTTTCATGACCGGAATCACTGGCTTGCTGTGAGTTTTCCGGGCTGTATGGCCATGTTCCAGAAGCATTCTCTCCTGACGTTTCACCCATATCTACGGTGGGCATCCTCGGAGGTTGAGGTGTCTGCTGAAAACTAGGCAAGTGAGGTTTATATACAGGGTGGGAGAAAGAACTCTTGTCTGCTTGAGGCAGGTGTGAATGTTGCAATTGGCCACCTTGATTAGTGTATTGTCGAAGGCTTTCATGGCCGCAATCACTGGGCTGTTGTGTTTTCCAGGCTGTATGGCCATGTTCCAGAAGCATTCTCTCCTGACGTTTTGCCTGCATCTATGGCAGTAGTCTCTTCCGATGTTTCACCTTCATCTATGGCAGTGGTTCTCAACCTGTGGGTCTCCAACACAACAAAAGATCTTAAATATTTAGGTGTTTTGGCCTACAACTCCCAGAAATCACAGCCAGTTTATCAGCTGTTAGGATTTCTGGGAACTGAAGGCCAAAACATCTGGGGACATACAGGTTGAGAACCACTGATCTATGGCAAGCATCCTCAGAGGTTGCGGTTAGCATTGAATGGCTTTGCAGCTTCAAAGTCAGGCTGATTCCTGCGTAGGGGAATCCTTTGTTGGCACTGAGCCATGATAGTGAAATGTGTCAAACCCAATTAATTCTACAATGTAGACACATCCTATGATTGAAATAACAGCAATCTGAATTCCCTCTATACTAGCAAACATGGGTAAACTTGAGCCTTCCGGGTGTTTTGGACTTTACCTCCCACCATTCCTAACAGCCTCAGGCCCTTTCCTTTTGGAGGTTTTTTTTTGGTTGTGTCAGGAGCGACTTGAGAAACGGCAAGTCGCTTCTGGCGTGAGAGAATTGGCCGTCTGCAAGGACGTTGCCCAGAGGACGCCTGGATGTTGTGATGTTTTAACATCCTTGTGGGAGGCTTCTCTCATGTCCTTGCATGAGGAGCTGGAGCTGATAGAGGGAGCTCATCCGTGCTCTCCCCGGATTTGAACCTGCGTTCTGTTGGTCTTCAGTCTTAACAGCCTCAGGCCCTTTCCTTTTGGAGGTGTTAGCTGGTCCTGAGATTTGTAGTTTGGTGTGAGAGAATTGGCCGTCTGCAAGGACGTTGCCCAGGGGACGCCCGGGTGTTGTGATGTTTTAACATCCTTGTGGGTGGCTTCTCTCATGTCCCGCATGAGGAGCTGGAGCTATAAGAGGGAGCTCACACACTCTCCCCGGATTGGAACCTGCGATCTGTCGGTCTTCAGTCCTCATAGCCTCAGGCCCTTTCCTTTTGGAGGTGCTAGCTAGCCCTGGGATTTGTAGTTTGGTGAGGCACCTTTGGCAGAGGATACACATCCCACAATCCCATAACATTGAGCCATGGCAGTTCCAAGTGGTGTCGATCTGCATCCATTCTCCAGTATAGATGTACCCACAGTTGTCCTTGAATAATTTATACTTCTTGGTAATGCTCTCACGTCTCGAAAATGTGCCTTTCTTCATGGATCAAAGGGGAAAGGAAGCATTTAGGGACACTCCCTCCTTTTGGGGGGTGGGGGGAACCAAAGCCTAATGGGAGGAGACACCCCTTAAAGCTGGGCTCCCTCCTCAGTTTCTGGGTGAGGCGCTTCGCCTGCCCTTTCTTCTCAATCCTCGTCATTTATAGCGCCGTCCTTCCCCCTGAGGGAAACTTCCCGCTCCTTGAAAGGCATCCCTTGAGAGATGGGAGGGGCGTCGTTAGATTACAATATCCCGGATGTTCAAGGTCTATCAGTATTGTTGCTTCAGAAGGGGTGTCTTCGCTAGAGTTGGCGTGGTAAAGTGGTTTGAGCGTTTGGTATGAGATCCATAGGGAACAGGGTTCGAATCCCCGCTTGGCCACGACAGTATTCACATAGTACGGGAATTCCCCATCCTGATCACATTTTCCCCTTTCTTTCCCCGTTGCGCCGGAAGTGCCATTTTCCTCCTCCTCTCCCCTTCCCCGTCAGAATGTTCCAGATAGAAACAAGCGATAAGGGGGAGCGCCGCGCATGCGCACAGGAGCAGTACTTTTCCACTCCCCGGTTCCCTCAGGGGCTGCGGCGAGCGCCCCCTCCCTTCCGTACGGAGTCACGTGGGAGGTTTCGTCACCTCTGGGGCTCAATTGTTTCAGAGGCCCCACCACGCGCCCCGTGTTTTGTTTCCTCGGGGGAAACACCTTTTCCCATTTCCGGTGGAAATCATAGAGAATATTTTTTTTTCCTTTTCCCCGACCTGCCCATTTCTTCTTCATAAGCTCATCCATTACATGGCACTTTTGTTTTTAAAAAAATCCTGTGTGATTATGAATCATAATAGTGGGAACATCCTTTCAGTAATAGGATTGCTAATAGACTCTTATAGTAATACTAGCTGCCCCCCTGCCACGCGTTGCTGTGGCCCAGTCTGGTGATCTGGAATATAAAGTAATGAGAAAGTATTGGGTTTCTAATATATGCAATTTCGTTATGCTTGCGGGTAGACAGTATTTCTTGCTGGTTCTTTGTCAGTGTTGATGTCTGCCAGATTCCATCTGA